GTCCTCTTACTCATTTGTCCACTGAGAAAACTCATACTGTCGCCGAAACCAGATGTTGGCACGGTGGCCGGTGTTGATACGGGTGTTGAAGGAGTAGCCGACGCAGCTGGAGCCTCGGACACCTACGTACGCATTATTGCACAACTCAAATTGCCCAGACATAACCTCATAGATTTAGCAGAAAGCCCAGTGCTTACCCCTGAGGTAGGGTTGGCCATGTCTTGGGTATCTTCTGATACTCTGTGCACAGCTTCCTTATTCGGTTTTCGTTTGCGACTACCTTGCGCAGTGTTCGGAGATGCACGGCTATCGGCTGGGGAAGGTACATCCTGGAAGGAAAAAAGTTTTTGATGACTTTTCAAATGTAGCTAGACAATTACCATAATAGTCTAAGCAAGCACAATACGCTTTTTGATGAATAAGTAAACAAACTTTGTCATCGCTTCCGCTCTCGCTCATTTCTTGATCTTGCACAATCAGTCGGCTCTTTTCCTTTTCATTCATCAAACTTTCCAATCGCATATAGATCATATCAAATTTATCCATCATTTGTTGCATATTCTGCAAGGTACCACTACTTAATTACACACATCCTCAGCTACAGTATCCACACCAACCTGTTTGATATCGGCATGTAGCTTAATGCATCCTGAGCAAGGTGGAGGTGGTGACGGAGCGACTCCATTCGGTACTGATGTGGGAGACGGCATTGATGGACACTGTTGTGGTGGTGGTGCTACCAGTGTCATCTGGCAAGGTCTAGATAACACAAAATTAAGGACAGAGATTCTAAATCAGACGGGGAGATAACGGAAGTCACGACAAGCGCGAAGAGAGAAAAAAAACCAGCATTTGCAGAGAATAGAAGCACGACAACGGCGATGGTGGTGTTGGAGGAGAACAAGAAGAAACCAGAAGAAGGAACCAAAACTTTGGGATATCACATTCCTAGGGAGAAGATCCTTATCATTTTCAGCACTTCAAAGGGAGTACTCTTTCCAAGAAAGGAAAATATCGCGCAGAATGAAGGTAAAAAGAGGAGAAAGTGGAGACCGAAGAGGCGCTATATAGCAAAGGATACTCAGAATGATGCGTGAAGAGGATAAGATCGAAAAAGTAATAAATCATCATATCTTTTATGTAGATAATGCGCCTGATTGTCAAGATTTACCGCATTCTACAAAGGTGAAACAATGGATATTCTTAGCGAATTGCTTGTGTATATGGAATTGCCTTTGCCGCTTATGATAGCTAAGATCTTCAGCATTTCCTGCGCAGGCACTGGCGCTGTCACGAATTTCTGGCACCAGATCAGCGCCAGATCTGCGCCTGATGATAGGCTTGAACTCCAGAACCGTTCAGAAAGAGTTTCAGCAGCAAAAAAAGATGACAATCAGCCGGTGTTTTGTCGGCGCCGGCAAACAGCACCGACATCAGCAGCAGCATCATCAGCAAAGAGCGAGCGAGCGAGAGAGGAGGCGATCGCGCGCTGCCTCCTATCACTATCATGGATCTGAGTGTCCCGTTTAGATGGAAATCGCGACGAACAGTTGATACGCATCTTATCAACACCAAATCGCTACGATCGTACGATGAAAACACACACGCATACATGGTTACCAGCTAGTACCACCACCACCACGGTCGGTTACGCCGGCCGACGACTCGATGACACCAAGGACGAGAGCCGACACCGACGTCGGTGATGGCTGATAAAGAGCGCAGAAGTGAATGAGGTGATGCGCGACTCGCGAGAGCAGGATGGCACGCACAGCCAACTTAGGGTTGAAAAGATTTGCTTACCAAGTATACAAACCAAATTTTGAGAGTGAAAGTGCAGTCATTTCTTGGAAGGGGCACAAAAGGTTGAAGCACACTATGGCAATAGCATACGTCGAACAATTTCTTTTGCTCAAAAATTTTTCAGAAGATACTTCGCAACTCAATATTATTGATAA